GTTCAGCCTCATGAACTGCTTTGCATTCGAAGAGTCGGAGAACGCTATCATCACTGTAACTGACAAATGGGGTTGAGTTAAAAAAATGCATATGATCAACTCTCGCACCAAAATCAATAGAGAACGGTGCCTGCAAACAATCGTTGTCCTTCTTCATCACAACTGTAGGAGGTCTTCATTCGCTCAAGTCAACTAGGAAAAGTACATGGTGTATTCGATATGGGTTCTACTCTTTTTCGGTGATATTTACAGTTCTAATGATCATTCACCCAACTCACTTCCGACCTACAAACTCCACCATTTTGACGAGGTCAGGCTAAGCAAAATTTTGTTGTTCTCTCTCGAAAGTCAGTTCGATTACAGACAACAAAAAAAACTCTTTATAGCGCGAAAACCATTCCGTCTGGTACATTCAACTGTTGACAACCGCCCCCCTTTGTATGTCAAGATTGTGAAAAGTTCGGTGGTAGCCTCGGTGGGATTCGAACCCCCCACGCATGGATGCCGCCTACGGTTTTGTACATCTCGCACGCTCTACCAGCTGAGCAGCTACGAGGTCACACAGACAGAGCACTGTTCTTTTCACATTCGAATCACCCACACAATTCACAGAGAGAGGCATATGGCATCCACCAGGTAGTGCATGTAAGCTGACTAACCCTGTTTGGTCAATAACTGAATGAGAGATTCCGATTATGCGATGTAGGTCTGAATAATAATATTCGACCGATCAGAGGTGAACTGGAATACTGACGGCAACGTCAAATCGTTAAGCTCATGACGCAAAGGACGAATTCTAAACAGATCAGTTCTGATTGTTTCTAAGATCTATTGTGTCCACAGCTGAGCACATAACGAGAATACCTGGACAAGTCATCTCGGTAAAGCGGGTTAGAATTCGGACTGTCTAAAAGCCAGTGAGTGATTCTTTGGTGCTGAACCCATGTACAGATAGATCACTATCATACACCCCGGCCAAAAATAGAGTTACCGCGCCGCAGTGGTTGAGTTGTTGACACCAGTGTGCTTTGAACCCAATGATCTGAGGTTCGAGCCCCGCCACGGCCACCCGACTTTGGTGGTAGGTAGCCTTGCTGTCGTCCGGTTCAGTACCACACCTAAC